TATGGAACGTCCTTCAGTTTGGGATTTCCTCATGTTTTCTCAGATTAGATTGTGATTATGCAGTTTGGGAAGGATTTTATAGGGGTTATATACCCTTCTAAGTGTACCACATTGGTGGGTAAATGAGTCAATGTATTTCATTACTAGGGATGTTAACCTTGATCACTGGTTTCAGGTGGTATCTGCCAGGCTTCTCTGCTGTACAGTTACTGTTTTCCCCATTGTAATTAGTAAATAGTTTCTGGACAATATTTTGAGACTATATAAATATCCTGTATCTCTTCAAACTTTCACCCACTAATTTAAGCATTCACTGGAAGATCTGGTCTGTAGCAATTATTACTGCAGAATTTTTTTTATGTTAATTTATTGAGAGAGAGAGAGTGAGAGAGAGACAGAGAGACAGAGAGACAGAGAGACAGAGTGCTAGCAGGAGATGGGCAGAGAGAGATGGAGACACAGAATCTGAAGCAGGTTCCAGGCTCTGAGCTGTCAGCATAGAGCCCGACGTGGGCTCACACTCACTATCTGTGAGAACTCACCTGAGCTGATGTTGAACACTTAACTGACTGAGCCACCCAAGCGCCTCGTTACTGTAGTGTTCTAATAGTGATTTTTCTATGCCCCTGATTCCTTATATATTTCTAAATTGGAATTCTTCTGTAAGGAAGAATTGCCCTTTCTTTGTTTACTTACTTAATTATTTATATACATCAATATGGACTTGTGAATATTTATTTTATTCTTCAGATTATAACCTTATACTATCATCATTTATTTTGTGTTGAAAGTTTATCTAGCTTTGGCTACTGGCAGCTCTTTTAGATTGACTCCTGTGTCCTTTATTTTATTTTAAAGTTTATTTATGTATTTTGAAAGGGGTCGGAGGGCAGAGAGAGAGGGAGAGAGAGAATCCCAAGCAAGTTCTCTGCTATCAGCGTGGAGCTGGACTTGGGGCCAAACTCACAAACCATGAGATCATGACCTGAGCCGAAATCAACAGTTGGACTCTTAACTGACTGAGCCACCCAGGCACCCCTCCTGGGTCTTTTTGACAGAACCATATTTTGTTTTAGAGCACATCCTTATTTCTGACACCACAAGATACTTCAGCCACCTATGTTTTTTTTTTTTTTTTTAATTCCTAGACTTTATTTTTTTAGAGTAGTTTTAAGTTTACAAAAATAGTGAATAAAAAGTACAGAGAATTTTCATATACCTGCCTCAGTTTTCCCTATTATTAACACCTTACACTGATATGGTATATTTGTTACAATTGATGAATCAATGTTGTTACATTACTATTACCTGAAGTCCATAGTTTAAATTAGGATTTACTCTTTGTGTTTGTACATTCTAGGGGTTTTGACAAATGTACAATGTCATGTATCCATGTTACAGTAACATACAGACGAGTTTCATTGTCCCAAAAGTCTCTGTGCTCAACTAATTCGTCCTCCCTCCTCTACCCCAAACTGCTGGCAATCACTGATCCTTTTACTCTCTCTATGGATTCGCCTTTTTCAGAATGTTGTATGGTTGGAATCATACAATATGTAGCCTTTTCAGACAGGTTTCTTTTACTGAGCAATAGGCATTTATGGTTCTTCTATGTCTTTTCATGGCTTCATAGATCATTAAGAAGTTTTATTTCATGAAATATATAGATTCCTGCATGCAACAATGTCATGCGACATTTACAAAAATTGTCCAGGTACTAGACTATAAAACAAGTCTCAATAAATTTCAAGAACTGGGAATCTACAGACCACATACTTTAAGCACAGCCCAATCAAGGAATAAATCAATAACAAAGGATAGCTAAAGGATAACTAAAAGAAAGATACCAGGCTGGAGAGAAATGAAACACTGACTAACAGTATTTCTTAGAAGCTGTAGCTATATCGAGACAAAAATATTTTTAGTGGTGCTCGTGAGATAGTCTATACATCTAAAAAAATTTATTTTTGAGACAGAGAGAGCAGGGGAGCGGCAGAGAGAGGGGGAGACACTGAGTTTGAAGCAGGCTCCAGGGTCTGAGGTGTCAGCACAGAGCCCGACGCAGGGCTTGAACTCACGAACTGAGAGATCATGACCTGAGCCGAAGTTGGACACCTAACCGACTGAGCCACCCAGGCGCCCCAGGATAATCTACACATCTTGACTGATTCTTGATCAGGAGTTCCCTTGAACTAGGCTAATTTTGTCTTTCTCCCACGATTCTCTGTAACTTGGGCATATTACCTAAAGGTGACTCTTTCCTCAGAATCTCTAAATTTCAGGATTGTCTTTTCTTTTTCAAATTACCCTAAAATCCATTTTATCTTCCTGAAAGTAGCTGTAAGTATTGGTCCTCCAAGCTTGTTCTGGTCAGGCCCGAATCTGGGTAGTCCTTGGGATGCTAGAGTTATCCTGAATTTAATGTAATAGCAGAAAACAAGGAGCTCACTGGGCTATCCTGGTCAAGGTGTCAATGACTTGTACTTCTCTGTGTGTAGCTGTTTCAGAAGCTTGTGTTAGGGAATCAGAAACATAGCTCATTTCTTTCTGTTGCTGTATAATATTCCATTGTATGGATGTACCACAATTTGTTTATCCATTTACCTATTGAAGAACATCTTGAGTGCTTCCAGGTTTTGGCAATTATGAGTAAAACTGCTATAAACAGAAGTTTTCAACTCATTTGGGTAAATACCCAGAAGTATGAATGCTGGATGATATGGTGAAATTATGTTTAACCTAGTAAGTAACTGCCAATCCATCTCCCAAATTGGCTGTGCCGTTTTGCATTCCCACCACTAATGAATGAGAGTTCCTGTTGCCTCACATACGTGTCAGTGTTTGGTGTTGTTGGTATTTTTGGATTTGAGCCACCTTAATTGCTATGTACGAGCTATGATATTTAACTGGTCAAATGCAATTAAGAAATGCCATCTGAAATGTATGATGAAGGTTGTGACCTGAGAATCAGATTTCTAGGAATTGGGAAAGGTGCCTAGAAGAAGCATAGTTGCAACAACAACAACAACCACAAAGGGAGGAAAAGTCACCCTAGAATGATGGCGAGATCTATCTGAAAGCACAAATAAAACTTAATTCCCAAGCCTAGGGTCAAAACAGTTTCCTCCAAAACTGAGGAAAGAAATATACCAGTATTTTTTAGTATTGGGCATCTTCTTTCTTACATCTTAATTTTGGTTAGCTGGAATTCTTCTTCAAGTACCTTTTTCAAAAAAGGTAGCTGGATAGTGTATTTGATCATCCCATGAATATTGGAAATGCCCTCAAGCATAGAAGATAAGCATGTCATAATGATGGATGGATATCTGTTGTACTTTTCTGCTCAGTGTCATGTTTTTGTTTTTGTTTTCTGATTGAGGAACATTTCTACCCCCCAACCCATGTATTTTTGGTGCAATTATCACTTCAGAGTGAGTACATACCTAGACCTGGTTGAATGTGATAACCTGTCCACAATGATTGGACTGGGTGGATATATAATCCAAACAGGGCCAATAAGGATCCTTGAATTAAATTACATGTATGGTCTGTGAGCTATACGGATGTAGGGTTGGGATGCCAGTGGCCATCTTTCCTGTCATGTGAACTGTCCATCTAGAGTAAAACAGAATGAAGCCACCATAAATAAAACGAAAGAAGCAAACAGAACACAAACAAGCAGGTCTGAGAGACAGAGAGAGATCAAGCTGATGGGAAGAGAATGAGGAACCAAAAATGGTCCAGGTGAATAGTTTGAGATCTTTGATCTAGTTGTGCTTGAAGTCTTACTCACACAAACCAATAAATTTCCTTTGTTTTTCTTAAGATAGTCTGAATTGGTTTTCAGTCTTTTATAACTAAAAAGAGGCATAGGATTGGTGTTAGGAATAAGCCATTGTTAGGGACAGACTCTACCATGAGGATTTGGATGGGTCTAAGTGCGGCACAGGATGGAGAGGACCCCCACACTCCCTCCCATATTAAGAGCAGGAAACTTGACAATCTTTGTTATGCTCTTCTGAAATGTATCGCTCAAGGGTCACCTGTTGTTTCTTTGGACTCAGATCACATATCTGCTGAGACTGGAACTTTAGAAGAGTTATCAAAATTTTAGGATGCTTTCTGCTTCTTACATATCTTTCATGAAAAGAAAAAGCTTCAACATAAACTGATCCCTTTGAAAGAAGGAAGGAAATAGTTTGTAACTTTGTTAAGAGATGCCCTTCCCCTACTTGGCTGTGAGTGGTGATGTAAGACCGCTGTGGGTCAGATAATCACGTACCTCATGGAACTTCAAAAGCCAATAACCCTGCCCTGAGCTGAAGTTAGTGGTGGCTGAAGTGGAGAGATGGGAGATAGCAGGGGCCGTGATGGGACTCAGGAGGAATTTGAGAAATCTGGAGCCTGATCCTTTAAGCCTTTCTTCCAAACTGTCCTGCTGAGCATTTGCTGGTGGTGAAGTAATAATTCATTCTCTAGTAAACAGTCGTTCAATGGCCTCAGCTTGGGCACAGCACTGATTAGCTATCATTTAGCTGGGGAGTCATTTAGCTGAGAGCTAAGACCTGCTGCTAAGGGACAGATATGCAAAAAAGTCTGGTCTGTAATCAAGGACAGGATAAGACAAGATTTCTGGTTTTCACTTACAGAAGTGGGCTCAAATCACTAGACGGCTAGGGTTTAAAAATAATTGAATTGGGGCACCTGAGTGGCTTGACTGGTTAAGTGTCTGACTTTGGGTCATGAGTTCGAGCCTCCCATCGGGTTCTACACTGCCTGCTTTGAATCCCTGTCCCCCTCTCTCTCTGCCCCTCCCCCCTCTCAAAACTAAATAAACATTTAAAAAAAAAGTATTGAATTGCTAGAGAAACGACAACTCCAGAGTGCTTGAGATTGTTAGGTTTCTAAGGCAATCCCAGGTCCTTGTAATAACACCATACAAAAAAGGGACGCTAAGGGGCGGGACCTCCAGAAGAATTTTTGTTCTGCATTCATTTCAGGCATGCCTTGGAGAAGAATGAACATGGGGTGATCTGTCTACAGGGAAAAGCCTGCTCGGTCAGATTGGTTCCACTGCCAAGATGTAAGTTATTCTACACGGTATGCTGGTCTTTCCAAAAGGACTTTTAATTGAAGATATGCTGTTTTCTTTCCTTTCCTTACTACGTCAAGGAGGTGTAGGGGATCATTACAGTGATCATTTAAACTGCTGGTTGTTGGATCAAGAGGACACAGATGTGGATGTCAGAGATGTGTGCATCACCCAGAGCTCCAGGACGTGAAATGTGACGCCGGGTTGTCTCTCTTGGGAGTAAGTGCAATTTCAGTTACGTATTAGTTAGAAAAACACTTGGTGGAGGCACTTTTGAAATGATATGTGCAGAAAACAAATGGATAAAGAAGTAAACAAATAAAATGCAGAAATAGACCTGAAAATACAAAGAACAAACTGATGATTGCTAGAGGGGAGGGAGGGAGAGGAATGGGCAAAATGGGTGAAGGGATTGGGGAGTACAGGCTTCCAGTTAGGGAATGAATGTCATGCGAGTGAAGGCACAGAGAATATGGGCAACATACAAGTATGCTGTATACTTGAAACTAATGTAACCTCATGTGTCAACTATACTTCAATAAAAAAAGAAAGGTAAACAAATCTTTACTCATTTTTATATTTATTACATGGTAGAATGGTAATATTTTGGATATACTGGTGAAATAAAATATATTATGAAAACAAATGTATGAGATTAGATAAGCAACTTTGCTCTCTTGTTAGTTTAATTTCTCTTTCTACCCACTGGGTACGGGGATGCTGTGTTCTTACACAGTTTAATTGCTTATCTATTACAAAATACACCTACATAATTTTGAAGAGAAAGTAATGATTTGTATAAGCAGACAATGGGGGAATTTAAAGGGATAATCTAGTCTAACTCACCATCTCCACTTCCATTTTACTGCTGTTTAAGGTCACAGTGCTAAGGAGGACCGGGGCAGGAATCATCATCATAATAATAATGATGATGAAGACCGAATAGTACTGGCAATTTTCACAAATATCATTGCATTTAATGTTCACAAAGGTCCTCTGAGCCTCCTATTATGATTATAGCCTGTTTACCAGTGAGGAAATGATGTTTTGGAAATGTCAAGGTATTTGTTTAAAAATATTATATTAAATCCCTAAACTTTCGGTCTAGTACTTCCTCTATTACTCAACGAAACCTCACTGGTTTTTGTTTGCTCAATTGCGTTCTAATTAAAAATACGTTTCAAATTTTGGTCTAGACCGATCTTTTAAAAAATTATGGTAAAATGAACACATGGTGTCTAGCACCAGGATCTGATTTCCTATATTTCTTACAGTCTATATCACATGTAATATTTCCCATGCTCCTTGATATTACACTGCTTTGTGTTATCGTCTAGTTTGTGTGTATGTGATTTGTGTTGTCTGAGCAAAACGCTTTTTCTCTGCTCAAAATCTATTAAATTTCTTTTGCACCCTCCCTTTGTGACTTCTCTTAAGTTCACCCAAACTGTTAGCTCTTTCCTGCCTAGTCCAGGGCAGACTGCCAGGTTGTACATGTCATGCATTGGGCTGCTCCTGTCAAGCCATTGCAGCAGAATTTGTGCAAAAGTCTTGCCAACAGTGTCTTGCAGTGTCATGGCCTCTGCTACTAATGCCTTCCTTCTCTTCCTTTCAAAATGATGCTCAGGTGATGTTTCATGGGTGGACCATTTCACCTCCCTTCTATGTGCAGCTAGGCTTTTCTCATGGATTTAGTAGAAGTCAACAGCTAACTTTGCACAGTCAAAGGCACTCTCCTCCTGCTCCTTAAATCTCTTGCTCCTTTGGTTTCCATTAGGGTCCCTAATGGAAGCCATGTAATGTTGAACATCGATGAGGGCAAAGAGTCATGTCTTTGAAAGCGGGCTCTGCCATTTTCTGGCTGGGTCAGTTAGGCAAACTTCTCCAATCCCATCTTTGAAATGGTGTCATGTTGCACATACCTTCCTGGAAGAATTGAGAAAATGGAATAAGATGAGAAAGTAAAGTGCCTAGGATTGGGTTTACTAAAAAAAATTATTTCCACTTTTATTATTCCTGTAGATAATTCTTTCTTTGGTTGGAGTTTCTCTTTGTGTTCATGTTAACTGCTTAGTCACATGTCACAAGCTCATCAAGGCTGCCTCTCTTTTGAAATGTTCTAAGTCACCTGTTTTGTTTTTGCCTAAGCCCTGTATTTCCTGAGTATTATTTTTTAAATTGATTTAAAATTTATCTTTTATTTTTTAGAGAGAGAGAGAGCACAAGTGGAGGAGAGGGGCAGAAGGAGAGTGAGAGAGAAAATCTTAAGCAGGCTCTTCTCTCAGTTCAGAATGCATTGCAGAGCTTGATCCCACAACCCTGGGCATGACCTGAGCTGATATCAGGAGTCAAACACTCAATCCACTGAGCCACCTAGGTGCCCCATGAATTTACTGAGCATCTTGCTCTACCTCTCTTTTTAATCATTTTGCTTCATTCTTTTTCTAAGAGTTTTACTGCCTACTACTCTCTGGCATCTTTAGATTGGAGACATCGTCCCTGCAGGTCATTCCTCTGACATTTTTAGTCACTTCATATTGTCACAGTAGTTTGCTAGCTCCACATATAATCTGATACATCGGTCCCCAAGAAGTCCTTTTGCTAAGATAGCAGAAAAATTATTACCTATCACTTACGCTGATACATTCTGGTCGTTCTGTTGGCTTATTTTCTGTTTTTTTTTTTTTTTTCTCCTAAGCTCTTAGAAAATGCATTCACATAAATATAGTTCAATTCTGTATCATTCATATTAACTTCATAGACTGTGACTGATAATTTCTAATTCTATCCTCTTTGGTAGTGGGGCTATCAAGATCCTCTACTAATTCTATTACTTTCTTTTTTATATTCAGGAAATTCACTATTTATATTAATCTATAACAACAACCATAAATGAATGCTAGTATTCAGAGATACAAAGATAAATAAGATTGTCCACCCTTCAAGGAACTCATAATAAGTAAGTTGTCCCTTTCTTATCTCTTTGAGAGATATTCATATCCTCCCTAAACTGAAACAGGAAGAAATAGAAAATTTGAATAGGCTGATCATCAGCAATGAAATTTAATCAGTAATCAAAGAACTCCCAAAAGTCCAGGCCCAGATGACTTCACAGGGAAATTCTACCAAACATTTAAAAAAGAGTTAATGCCTCTTTCCCTGAAACTGTACAAAAAAAATAGAAGATGGGAAAACTTCCAAATTCGATTTATGGGGCTAGCATTATCCTGATACCAAAACCAGATAAAGACATGCCAGAAAAGAACTACAGGCCAACATCTTGATGAAGACAGATGCAAAAATCCTCAACAAAATATTAGCACACTGAATCCAACAATACATTAGAAAATCATTCACCATTGATCAAGTGGGAGTTATTCCAAGGGTGGTTCAATGTTCAAATTAATCAGTGTGATACATCCATCAACAAGAGAAAGGATAAAAACCATATGATCATTTCAATAGATGCAGAAAAAGCATTGACGAAGTTCAACATCCATCCATGATAAAAATCCTTAATGAAGTAGGTTTAAAGGGGATATATCTTAACATAATAACGGCTGTAAGTGAAAAAACCCACAGCTAACATCATACTCAATAGTGAAAACCTGAGAGCTTTTCCCCTAAAATCAGGAACAAGGGAAGCATGTCCTTTCTTATCACTTTTATTTAACATAGTACTGGAAGTTCTAGCCACAGCAGTCAGATAAGAAAAAGAAATAAAAGGCATCCAGATGGGTAAGAAAGAAGTAAAACTTTGACCATTTGTAGATGACATGACACAATATCCAGAAAACCCTAAAGACTCCACCAAAAAACTACTAGAACTGATAAATGAATTCAGTAAGGTCACAGGATATAAAATCAATACACAGAAATCTGTTGCATTTCTATACACTAATAACGAAGTAGCAGAAAGGAGAAATTAAGAAAACAATCCCATTTATAATTGCACCAAAAAGAAGAAATACCTAGGAATAAAGTTAACCAAGAAGGTGAAAGACCTATACTCTGAAAACTATAAAACTCTGATGAAGGAAATTAAAGACAACACAAATAAATGGAAAGTTAGTCCATGCTCAAGGATTGGAAGAACCAATATTAAAATGTTCATACCACTATCTATATAATGTTAATCAGCCATAAAAAGAATGGAATCTTTTCATTTGCAACAACATTGATGGATCTAGAAAGTGTGATGCTAAATGAAATGAGTCAGTCAGAGAAAGACAAATGCCATATGATTTCACGCATATGTAGAATTTAAAAAACAAAACAAATGAAGAAAAAAAGAGACAAACCAGAAAACAGACTCCTAACCATAGAGAATAAACTAAAGGTTACCAGAGGGGAGGTGCATGGGATGGGTTAAATAGGTGAAAGAGATTAAAAGTACACTGTGATGAGCACTGAATAATGTATAGAATTGTTGAATTACTATACTGTGCACCTGAAACTCATATAACACTGTATGTTAATTATATTGGAATTAAAATTTTTTAAAGATATTATATCCTTTTATTTTTATAATCATTAAACTTGGCCTCTTCCATAAATGATTATGTAGTCTTACATCCTTGGAATAATTCTCACTATCAGGTTTATCCTAAGGCTTATATTAAGGTGAAAAAAATAATTAAGATTCCCAGAAGAAGTGGTTTGTGATTTGGGTATAATTTGCTTAATATTTGCATATGCCTATTTTGAAAAGACTTCTTGGTTTCAAGTTAAAATTCTTTGGCTATAATTAACATACTTGCTTTATGTTTGGCTGCCATAGTTAATATAGATGGACTATTCCAGAAACATAGAGCCAGAAGTGAGTTGATAGTTAAACTAGAAAAGAGAAGGAAAAAAAAGGTCTCAAGAAATCTTCTAAGACAGTAATAGCCCCCGTCTGGAATTTTCCTCTCTTCCGCAGGAGCTTTTGCAGTTAATTAGAGTGCAGTGTGACCAAGGGAGGTCTGGCCTACATGGTGCAAGTTGACGGTTTCTCGAAATCTGCCCCATGCTCGGTTATTTCCCTTACTTGTCTTTGAGTTAGAGCATGGAAGAACTCCCTGTCAAAATAGAAATGTTTAGCCCTAGAATTCTACTGCCACGAGAGACCTCACATATCATTATACCACAGAGGTTCTCAAGCCTTTTCAAGTGAGAGAATCCCTTTTTGACTTCAACATATCTGGGTTTCTCATTCAGTCAGATTTATGTTTTAAGTAGCATCCAGCGTACAATACATATTGTAGCATCCATGGACCAGAAGGTGCACAATGACAATATGCCCCTCTGAATTCAATAATCACTTACATGAATTTAAGCTTTATTATTCAGAACGGTAATTACATAGATTTGAAACACATAACTGTATCTATATGAGTGTAACATGTCATTTATTTCATCTATGGCCTTCTAGGTGTACACATGGATTGGGAGAGCCCAGAGATCTGCAGACGTCCAAAGTGAGACTTGCACATTGGGAATCCATGATCCAACCGTATTTATTTATTTATTCATTCTCAAGTTAGTTAACATACAGTGTAGTCTTGGCTTCAGGAGTACAGTCCAGTGATTCATCACTTGCATATGCCACTGATCTAATCTAATCTCCTATTTTAACAGACAAAGATAAATGTGATTTATGGAGATTAAGTGATTTTCTAAGAACCTAATTAACTAGTGGCCGAGTCCAGTTCATTGACACCTTTTCTGCTGTCCTGCAACGGGCTTAAACTTTTCTGAAATTATCACTCATCTAGATCAGCAGAGTGAAGTAACATAAATGAACTAGCCCTATACCACACACAGAAGGGCACGCTCCTATACTTATCAACAGCAACAAAACATCTTCCAGGTGATTGGATTGTATATAGAATTCTTGCATAAATTGTCTAACTTGACAAATATTTCTTGAGGATTGCAGAGGGAAGCAGAGACCTGTCTTAGGGACCTTTTAACCATAGAGTAAATTTAGGAAATACTGGCTTTCTGGCCACAGCAAATACCTCCCCCCAAATGATGAGAAATTTTTAAAAATCTTAAATATTATGGATTTCCAGCAATGAACAGGCACAGAAGTCAGCAAAAGTGGGCATCCTCAATTTCTGCCAACTAGGGAGAAGCAGTTCTGGCTGCTGAGTTGAGAAAAGAAATGAGAAAATTCACCAGCCAACTAATGCATTATATTATTGGCAGGCTTAGGAGGAGGCCTGTGTCAAAGATATTAAAAAGCCATTCCATGTTAGAATGACTCGATTCAGTTGGGGAAAAATGAAAAGAACAATCTATATTTCTTAGATATTTTTAATGTTTAGATATAGAGGGTGTATCTACAGTAGTCAGGTGTCTCTGAAGGCCAAGGTTTCTCTGAGCGATGGATACGAGGTGAAAGGTGGTGCTGATGTGAATGCGGTTCAAATCCACTCTCTCCCTGGATGACCCATTTCTGCCAGTAGTGCATTGGTTTAAAAAACTGTTGGGTTCCAATAGATTAGCTTTAGGCCTCTCCTGATCTAAATGACCTTGAGGAGTCCAAGTGAATTCTGATTCCTGTGAGCATTTGGGTCATTTTGGGGGTAGGTCTTGCATGGTCCAATCATATCTTTCATGTGGATATAGTGATACTGATGGGTCATTCAATGGGATCCAACATGTCTTAAGAAGATCAAGACTGCTTATCTGGATGTTATTGTGTGTGTCTATATTTCCACAGAGAGCATCTAATCTTATGAGCAAATGTAATGATTTAGAACTGTGAGTTTCATAAGGAATCTTAGCGGGGGATAGAACTGAACATGAACAGATCCATTCCCAACAATGGAAGCTGTAACTCAACCTGCGTGTCTTTGGGAGATGGCGCATCTGAGTCTTAGAGAAGCAAAGAGTAGATCCAATGGGTGTTGACAGAAAAGCTGTATATTCAGATCACGATGAATTCTGTAGCCCTTGCAGCTGAATATAATAAAACTGGGGTCCAGAGAAGGCTGCTTTGCATCCATGTTCCCCTACCCTCTCATTGTCCAGACTCTGGGATATTGTAGAGAGGGACCGGTGTTGGCCTGGGAGCAGAATCCTTTCTCTTGCCCATTAACCCTCCGACAGAGCAGCAGGGCTGGCAGCCTTCCCAAGGGCAGCTCTGAAAAGTGGGCTGGGCGGCTGGAGCATTTTCACCGCAATCAGACTCTGTTGCCTTGGTAAAGTCCCCACGCATCTGAAGAGTGGCTCATCTGCTCCCCGCTGGGGGGCTCCAGTGCTTAGCCAGGCGTGGCCCCCACGAGAAACCTAGGCTACTGGCAAGCTGGTGCCGGCTCAACTGTGAACCCTGAAGAATAAGCAAACAAAATAGTTTTATTCACTACCTTTCCAGGAGGGCGAATTCTTAGAAAAAGAAAAAGCGGTCATAGGAGAGTTTTCAATGTCAAAGGCCCTAGGGCTGGAGTGGCAAGTTATGAGTGGGGAGGGAAAAGGAGGAAACGAGGGGATGGGGTAGGTATGGGGAGAGATTCTTAGCAGTTGCCTTGGGTGGACAGAATGGTGTAAAAAAGATTTTAAGGGTGTAGACTTTATGATATGCTGTGGAAAACCCTCTCCCCCTGCTCCCTTATGAAAATCACTAAATCTCTACATTCTGCTCTTTCCAGTGTGGGAGCCAGGAGCCATATGCAGACAAGGAGCCGTTCAAGTGTGGCTGGTCCAAATTGAAATGTGCCTGGGATTTTGAAAATGTATATGAAAAAGAGAATGTAAAATACCTGTGTCATTGATACCTTTTTACAACATTGTTGAAATGATAATGTTCTTAACATATTGGATCAAAGTACATTATCAAAATTAATTTTACCGGCTTCTTTTTATTTATTTTTTTAAGACATGTAACTACTAGAAAATTTAAAGTTACCTTTGTGGCTCACAATTTTATTTCTATTGCGTACAACTGGTCCATATCATTCTTCAAAGCTTCTGGGGTTGGATTTGTGCTTATTTCAGATTGGTATGGGCAGTGTGCAAGGCTATCTAAACAAACGTTTACATTCACGTCTATTGACGGCCAGAATCGAAGGGAGGATCAGATGTGATGTCTCAGGCTCCAAGGGGAGCACTTGTCACATGGGCTGAGACTAGGAGACGTTCCAAAAGATTCAAGATCAGAGAAACGCTCAGGAGAAATGGTGCCTGACTTAAATATGTCAAAGGGAGACTGAGTGTTTATTTGAGAAATGACTTGGAAGCTGCCCTAATTCTTTGTGAAGACAAGACTGAGGAGGAAGGAAGCATTTGGGTAAGTGGTGAGGCAAAATGGCTTGGGAAGGTCCCTTTAGCACTCTCCACAGAAGGCCAGGGCAGCCTATCTAAGGGAGCCCCTGGGTATATCTCTGGCATGGGACTATCATGTAGCATTGTGTATAACTCAGCTACGCAGAGAGCGCAATGGGGCCCTTCACTTGACCAGAATAGTGTCCATCATCTCAGTTTATGGCAAGAGAAGATACTTGTTCCAGAGTTAGGAGAGATACATAAAACTCTTCAAGAGGGTTTGGCTGATGCTCCAAGTCTGAACAAATTCAGGCCAATTTCTTATCCTCTAACTCCTGTGCCTTTGGAACCAGGCAATGAAAATGAATGTTCTAAATAATGACCCGAGGCGCTGCAAAAGCCTGAAGTGCCTCACAAATCATCAAAGGAAGATTAAATTATGTCCTGTACTTACCAAAGCCAAAAAGTGAACTAATAATATATTTTAGAAACGGCTGTTCCAGGAGCTGAAACTGAAAACGTGGTACTGATTGACCCCAATTTAACTAGGACATCTAGGTAACCAAAAGGCTCCACTCTTAAAGCTTCCTAGTTAATGGATGAATCTTTGCATCTTGATAACAGGTATGGAGAGCTTTTGTGTATAAGGTTTTCCTGGAGGCAGAATGGCTCATGATACCAGCATGGCAGACCAGTTGCTTTGGTTTAGTGGGGCTAGTCAGAAATACAAATTCTCAGGTCTCACCCTAGACCTGCTGAATGGAATTAGCATTTTGGCAACATCTCCAGGGGATTCAAAGGCACACTGAAGTTTTAGAATTACAGGCCCGGGGTGGATTCTAGCTCTTCGTAGGGGAGAAATCCTCTTACCTTAAAGAGGCCTCTGGGAGCTTCAACAAGTGCTTATTTTATGTTCTAGGCACTGTACGGAGAACTTTACATGGCTCAACTCATTTTAACCCTTCAACAGCCTGATGGACAGTATAGAAATGAATCCCATTTTACAGATAAGGAAACTGAGATACAGAACCAGTAAGCAATTTGTACAAACTCCCACACACTATATAGTGGAACCGAGATTCACATCTAGGCTGGTACTTGTTGGTTTTATAAGTACAGGTTATTATTTTGTCTGTCTTTCTTTCTTTCTTTCTTTCTTTCTTTCTTTCTTTCCATTTATTTATTTATTTACTTATTTATTTAAATTTTGAGAGACACAGAGAGAGAGCATGAGCAGGGGAGGACAGAAAAAGAGAGAGAATCTTAAGCAGGCTCTATGCTCAGCACAGAGCCTAACTCAGGGTTGATCCCATGACCTTGGGATCATAACCTAAACCAAAATCAAGAGTTGGACACTCAACTGACTTAGCCACCCAGGCGCCCCCTTGTCTTTCTTACTTAGGTTTTGAGCCATTTATCTGTAAGGTGGAGTTCTGTTGGTCTTGTCCACATGAGTTTTCTTTATCCTTTTCAGAAAGCCTGGAATTTCCTGCTTCAGAATCTAGACAATGGAATAACTTTCAATAGTTGCTCAGTTAATGACGTAATCCTGGCTGGTGGGTAGGCTTTCGTAGGTTACAATAAAAAAAAAAGACAGAAAAACAAAACTGAGACCCAAAAAGTTATCTGAAATTCCATCTTTCAGAAATAATATGTTAAATTTAGAGGTTTATTCTTCTTTTTTAATTTTTAAAAGTTTATTTACTTATTTTGAGGGGGTGGGGAGGGGAAGAGAGAGAGAACCCCAAGCAGGCTCTGCACTGTCAGCACGGAGCCAAAGTAGGGCTCCAGCCTATGAACTGTGAGATCATGAACTGAGTGGAAACCAAGAGTCGGATGCTTACCGGACTAAGCCACCCAGGTACTCTCCCTGGAGGTTTATTCTTACGTGACTCAAGATTGCTCAACGAAAGAGGACTTACTTTAAAGTGGGGAGAGGAGGGAGATAATGAAACCCCTCCTTCTACCCATCAAAGTCACCAAGCACAGAATCTCTGTTTCCCTGTTTTATTCCTTTCCTTTCTGCAGGCGAGTCTCTCTGCTTCCCCCTCCGTTTGCAGGGGAACTAAGATGGCCGCTCGAGCCCTGATTTGATAGTACCCTTCAGTTCACACGTCAGCAATCACGTCGCAAGGTCTTTGTGTCTCTTATTTCTAGCTTGCTAGTAAGAGAATTCCAGGCTCTTAATTGGTTTGTCATACTAATCAGTGAAAGTTAAGTGATTAAAACAGGGCCACCATTTAAAAAGGCCACCCCCTTTGGTAGCAATTTGGGGTGGGAGTTAATTCCGAACAGTGGATTGTGGACTAGGCAACATGGCCCAAATGTATCTACTACAATTGTTTAATATAAAATGAGATCATGCTTCCTATAACTACTTTTTTTTCACTTAATATTTTGCCAACATACTTCCCTATCTATGAATATTATTGTACCTCATCAGTTTTACTGATAGTGTAAAATCTGTCTCAATTTGATCAACCATTTACTATTGCTATGTATTCTTTCCCCCAAATATTTGCCATGAATGTTGTTATGAACAATCTTGTCAAAAATCAATGTGCCTGGTCTTAATTATTTTTTTAGGATAAATTCTTTTTTGTTTCTGAGTTTTATTTTACTTATTTTTGAGAGAGACAGAGAGAGACAGTGCAAGCCAGGGACGGCAGAGAGAGAGAGGACAGAGGATCCTAAGCAGGTTCTGCGCTGACAGTAGAGAACCCCCCATGAGGGGATCAAACTCCGGAATCATGAGATCATGACCTGAGCTGAAGTCAGATGCTTAGCCGACTGAGCCACTTAGGCAGCCTCTAGGATAAATTCTTTAAAAACAAAATTGCTAGGTTAAGAAGTATACACTTTTTAAAGGCTTTAAAACTACATACTCAAATTACCTTCTGGGAAAACTGCACAAATTCATACTCCTACCAGCGAGGTAGTACTCCTTCCCAACCCTCACCAGAACTGGGGATTATTCTTGTTTTCTTTCTTTTTTTTTTTTTTCTTGTTTTCTTTTTTTAAGTTTATTTATTTATTCTGAGAGAGAGAGAGAGAGAAGCTAGCAGGGGAGGGGCAGAGANCTTTCTTTTTTTTTTTTTTCTTGTTTTCTTTTTTTAAGTTTATTTATTTATTCTGAGAGAGAGAGAGAGAGAAGCTAGCAGGGGAGGGGCAGAGAGAGAGGGAGAGAGAATCTCAAGTCTGCTCCACACTGTCAGTGCAGAACTCAACAGGGGGCTCGATCCCATGAACCATGAGATCATGGCTTGAGCCAAAATCAAGAGTCAGACGCGTAGCCAACTTAGCCACCCAGGTGCCCTGGAATTATTCTTTTTTACCTTTGCTGATTTGATAGGCAAAAACTAAGGTCATTGCTCTTTTGTGTTCTTACTGAGGTGGAATAGTTTTTCATATATCCATTGGCCTTTTGTTTTTCTTATTTTGCAACACGCTTCTTTTTAAAAATCCAGCCATAATTTACACAGGAAAAAAGATGTCTGTGCTTGTCATTAAATGATCCTTACCTAGCTGCAACTAGTGACTTTTTTTTATTTGATTGCCTCCAACTAAAGATAAAACAGCATCACATTTCCTCCCTTAGGATAATATTATTTGAGTCTTAAAACAATAAGTAAAGCTAAGCCTGTAGTTTTCTCTACATCACTGTCCCTTAAACCCTTTACAGTGATGTTCTAGGAGAGGCAAACTGATCTTCCAAGCTATTTGATAAAATGCCCGAGACCAGAATAACCAGGTGAGTCGTAATGGTGACATTGGAGTGAAGGGAGAACGCGAGAGATGTCAAGTTCATCTACTCTCAGGGCAGTTAAAGTTTTCAAAGGAACAAAGTTTTTCTTATCACCCTGATCTCTAAGGAAGGGCTGAGAACTCTATGGAAAGCTCACTGTTTCTATTTCCTAAATCCTTGCTTTACATCCATCATTGAAAGAATGGATTCCTATCTCTTATTAAAGTTGCAGTCTGGGTAATTTTGAGTCTTCTTCACAATTACTGCCAGAGTCTTTGAAATGATTCAAGATAGAAGGTGTCTAAGGTACCAGATTAAGGAGAGAGTAAGCTCATTGAGAATCATAAGCTGAGACATTTGGACAATGCGCACAGCTCAGAGATGTCCTTCTGCATAGGTGGTGGCCTCTGTGGTCTGAGTCAGCAAGGGTTTCCCAAATTTGTCTTACCCTTGTGTCCTGGGCAAGGGCTAAACATAACCAGTTGTGTAAGGAGTTGACTAGTTGAATGGACACCAAATTGAGTCCATTGAGCACATTGAGTTATCTTCAAGTAACCCCTTCATGTTATTAAGCTTCAGTTCAAGAATCCTAACCAGATATTGTTTATGGCAACGAAAATCTGAACGTTTCAGGTCCTACATGCCCCCTGACATCCACAATGGTGGACAGATCAGCCCGAATTGGAAACTGCACACTCATCATCACCGGAGAAAAGGTGTAAAACACCAGACACAAATGACCATATCCAGTCTTCATATTCCCTCAATGGTCTCTAAGACTGGTAGCTAGTCTGCCCCTCCCCACCTCCCCTGCATTGCCCCTCCCTACCTGTTCCCTACAAATAACACACCTATTCCCTTGTTTAGCAGTCATTTTGTTAAAGTAATATATATTAAATTATGAGCCTTAATCATTCCAGAATAATTTGCATTTTTAAAATAGAAGACCCATTAACTCCAACTGATCCTCAATGTAAAAGCTTTAATTAAGTGTAGATGATTTTAAAATACGTATATTAGAACATCTTGGTCTTGAGGTGCAATTTATTGAAGGCAAATCAAGTTACTTGAAACCAAAAGGGACACTGTTTCATTCTCCTCTCTTCTGTAGACCATTTTAACTGCTTCTTTATCCACATGGCATGCGGATAAAGTTGTCCCATGTTCTTGAGATTCTACCTTACAGTTCTAGAGAGATATTGCCCATCCCTAAAAACCATTTGTGATTTGTGGAGAGGAAATCTGACTGGCACGGCCTGGCTCCCTTCATGGCCAAAGATGTGGGGATGACATTGGTCAAACATGAATACTCAGGTCCTGTGTGTGAGTAGGGGGCTATGTTAGTTAATATCTTACAGTCCAGGTGGACATCCTAAAAACTATCTCCTACAAGAGGTTTTCCTTCAGACCCTTTAAATCAGTTTTCCAAATGTTCCTGATCATTGGACCCTCACCTGAAGAGTCTGAATCCAAGGGTCTCATAGAGTCAGCCATTGTCTATTTTTAGTAAACACATCAGGTTAAGTTTATCAAGAACATGGGACAACTTTATCCGCATGCCATGTGGATAAAGAAGCAGTTAAAATGGTCTACAGAAGAGAGGAGAATGAAACAGTGTCCCTTTTGGTTTCAAGTAACTTGATTTGCCTTCAATAAATTGCACCTCAAGACCAAGATGTTCTAATATACGTATTTTAAAATCATCTACACTTAATTAAAGCTTTTACATTGAGGATCAGTTGGAGTTAATGGGTCTTCTATTTTAAAAATGCAAATTATTCTGGAATGATTAAGGCTCATAATTTAATATATATTACTTTAACAAAATGACTGCTAAACAAGGGAATAGGTGTGTTATTTGTAGGGAACAGGTAGGGAGGGGCAATGCAGGGGAGGTGGGGAGGGGCAGACTAGCTACCAGTCTTAGAGACCATTGAGGGAATATGAAGACTGGATATGGTCATTTGTGTCTGGTGTTTTACACCTTTTCTCCGGTGATGATGAGTGTGCAGTTTCCAATTCGGGCTGATCTGTCCACCAATGTGGATGTCAGGGGGCATGTAGGACCTGAAACGTTCAGATTTTCGATGCCATAAACAATATCTGGTTAGGATTCTTGAACTGAAGCTTAATAACATGAAGGGGTTACTTGAAGATAACTCAATGTGCTCAATGGACTCAATTTGGTGTCCATTCAACTAGTCAACTCCTTACACAACTGGTTATGTTTAGCCCTTGCCCAGGACACAAGGGTAAGACAAATTTTTCCTCAGCAGGGATTTGGCAGTGGTCCCCTAACACTTAGGAAGGGGTGCATATATCTTATGGGCATCTTGACTTATTGTTCCCCTTTGTTCATGATGAAACTATTTACGGATGCCTTTGGGAAGTTGTCTCAGTGTTCCATTATGATTACAATGTCTAGACTTACGTAGGGAGTCGGTGAGTTGTTAAACCAACTGGAAATCCTCTTTTGCTTTTTAAAAAAAATTTTTTTTTAATGTTTATTTATCTTTGAGACAGAGAGAGAGAGACAGAGTACGAGTGGGGGAGGCGCAGAGAGAGAGGGAGACACAGAATTTGAAGCAGACTCCAGGCTCTGAGCTGTCAGTACAGAGCCCAATGCGGGGCTCGCACTCACCATCTGTGAGATCATGACCTGAGCTGAGGTCGGATGCTTAACCGACTGAGCCACCTAGGTGCCTCTCTCTTCTGCTTTTTGAGTATTTAGTCTTATTTGATTTTCTTATTTCCTGTTTCCTTCACTATTTTCCTACTTATTATTTTGTGTGTATGGAGTTTGTGGGAGGTTAGCTCGTTATTATCTCCCCGGAAGGCTTGCTGTTATAAAGGGAAATATCTGATTTCTCAGGATCTCTTTAAGATCCTTCATGATGCTCTTTGCTTTTTTTTTCCTCAAGTTTATTTATTTATTTTGAGAGAGAAAGATGGGGGGGGAGAGTGAGCAAGGAAATGGCAGAGAGAGGAAGAGAGAGAATCTGTAGCAGGCTCCACATGGTCAGCGCAGAGCCTGATATGGGGCTCGAACCCATAAACCATGCGATCATAACCTTAGCAGAGGTCGGATGCTCGGATGCTTGCTTAGCCAACCGAGCCACCCAGGTACCCCCCTCCCCCCAACACTTCATGGTGCTCTTCTTTAAAGGAAGTCCCAACTGCTTGGAAGGAGGGGAAGACACTGAAAGTTGGAGGTGTTGGCAAACTGCTTAGGATCTGATGCACTCCTGCCTTTAACCTTTTATTGCCACATTAGTGATTCATTTTGTTGTTTTATGGGCTTCCCTTCCTCTGCCAGGGAGGTCATTTGGAATTTTACTCTAAGGTCCGGAGAAGCTGCAAGTGTGAGTTTAGTCCAGGTTGTCTGATGCAGTTGCAATTTTATCTGATGATCTGGGAAATAGTTTTAGAAAAGGAGGTTCCCAGGGTTGCTCCTGGAAGTCCAAGCCTAGATCCCTGGCGGAGCTCACGGGGAATACACATGGCAAGAAGGACAGAGCGGATTTCTTGGAACCAAAATGACCCCGAGGGTGCATTCTGATTGAGAATGGCTGGCTATGGCTCCCTGGCATTGGCATTTCAGCTGGGGGCTGGGAAGGCACACCAGAGCGAAGCTCAGATAAGCTATGTTTTCTCGATACCTTCTTAACGTAATGCGTGATTTGCCTGTATCACAAATTCCTGTTTGTTAAGTCTTATGTAGGTTTTCAGGGTACTTTGCAAATATGAGTTCCCAATCTCACTGCATCTACACGTTATCTCCGTTTATGGCTGGGCAAGCAGAAGCAAAAAGACTTACAATGGCTTGTCTGAGATCACAAGTTAGAGCAGCAGACAGAGCTTGTGCCTCTTCTGCCCGTCTGCCCTCACACTTTGTCTCAACGAGAGTTGAGAGTCGCTGCTGCCATTCACAGCTCCTTAGGAAAAGGGAGATTCAAATGCAGATGAAGGAAAAGGAATTGTTTCAGTCCAGTGTTCTCATAACATTTAATCCAAACCGGGGCCGCCGGGCTAACCGCATGCACGTGATTTAATATAGTCATGATTAAACTAAGTGTAAAGAAAAGGGGTGTATGCACAGTAAACGAACACCAATGCATATTTGGGGCGAAAACTGCTGACTTAGGCGAAATATACGTTGATTTCAACCATATGAACTGCAGTGACTGCGGTTTGTTTCTTTCTGTTCACTCAGGGATTAAATTGAGTTGAAGCAGCCTGGAACAGTCTGATGACTCTTCCTTCCAGCCACGGAAAGTGTCAGGTGTCCTGCGTCTCGCATCTGACATCCTATCGGTGAGGATAACAATCCACAACAGAGATCCTTTGGCTCCGTGGAGGTCCATCTACAGACTGATTTATGTTAGAGTTGTCAGTGACATGAGAAATAAATCAGAATAACGCAGAGCCTGCTAAGTGCACGCGTTTTGGAGACAAATGGCCTTAGGTTCGAATTCTGCTACTTAGTAGCGGTGTGATGGGGAACTCCCTGAGCATTGCATTTTAGGTGATGATTAGACAGCAGATGATAGGTGGGAAATAAAAGTGATAGTAGTGATAAGGAGAATTATTAAAGCAGCTATCATTAAATAAAGGCTTACTACACATCAGCCACTGTGCTAAGTGAGCTCGCATAATCTTTACAACAGGAGGAGGTGGGTAGTAATAAATATGTACTTAATCAATGTCAGTTGCTTTCTTCCTTGACTGAGCAAGTATTTATCGAGTGCTGGTTACGTGTCTGCATTGTGCTAATGTTGGTACTTCAACGTCAGAAAGCTTGTGACCGCTTCTCTCAAGGAGTTCTCGTTTTCCTGGGGGAGTGGGGAAGAAAGCAAAAGAAATGGAGACGATGAGAACTATCAGGGGTATGACGGGAGCAAATGGAGAGGAGAATACAAAGTAGACTGTGAGTCAGGGAAGGCTGTGTGGCCAGAGAGGTAGCTTGACTGCTAGAGGTTCAAGTGGGCTTGAACCCAAGTGGGCTTCTGAGCTCAAGTCCGGTGCCCTCTGTTATTCCCTGCTTCCTGGATGGGCGTCTTCACCGAGACAAGGCTTTACGAGGCTTATTCCCCAGGAAAGGATTACTTTAAGAAAAAAAAAAAAAAAAGGTTTTTTTAAAAATATTTTTTTATTTGTTTCTAGGAGAGAGAGAGAGAGAGAGACAGCGTGAGCAGGGGAGGGTCAGAGAGAGAGGGAGACACAGACTCTGAAATAGGCTCCGGGCTCTGAGCTGGCAGTCAGCACAGAGCCGGACGCGGGGCTCAAACCCACGAACCGCGAGATCATGACCTAAGAGAAAGTCGGATGCTTAACCGACTAAGCCACCCAGGCGCCCCTAAAAAAAAAAAAAGTTTTGATGTGAAGGTTTCAAATTCACAAAAATCGAATAGAATAAGAAACCCCCAATAACTGTCCCCCAGGTTCAAGAGTTATCCACGTTTTGCCTTATAAACTAAGGGAAAAGGGGGTGCTTTTTAAATGGGGATGTTTCTGTCGCAGACTCTGCTGGTGGTTCTAAAGAGACTGCATCGGTCATGTGTCCATTGCCCTTGCCCGTATATCTCTAAACTGGATCCTCCTCCCTCCCTCTCTTGGGAAGACACCCCTAGATTCTAACAGGGGAGTGAGCATGGGGCCTGCCCCCGCTACGGCGTTAATAGAGTAAAGCGGCAGGCACATATGCTGGGGTAGCATCTCCTTGTAAACGAAAAAGAGTATTTTCATTGCTGTGATCAGATTTGCATTCTGCCTATATGGTGTCTTTTTTTTTTTTTTTAAACATCAATCCTAATGCCTGGTTGGGTGAACAATGCCTTCATCATCACGTGGCCGGAGTAGTGTGGGCCTCTTTAACAAATGGATTGGACACAATGGGCCTCTTAGTTAAGATGCTAGCCCTCATCAGGTAATCGGTGTCACTCACATCCATTACTTTGCAATCATCTGGCGAATGCCATATCTGATTGTGAAAATAGATTTGGACTTTGTCTTTTCTTCCCTTTCTTCGCCTTCATCAGCCTGGATCCCTGGAACAGAGCCCGTGACAGGCTGCACGCCCCGAGTGGCAGTTTTAAAGGCAGGAGAAACAACAGCAGAAAATGAGTGCTTAGACTACTGACCTGTAGGATTTATTTTGTGGTACATTTTTTTTTTTTTTTGGATTATAAAAGAATTGATCAAGCATAAGTCATTTTTGGAAGGGAAATTCTTTTTAGCATTCAGTAAGGGGATTGACAGAGGTTTACTGAAGTTGGAATAGGACTGTTATTATTATAAAGGAAGTGATTAGGTACAGGAGAAAGCATTTTGAATGGTCAGGGATCTTAAGTTCAAGGCCCAGGCTCTGCTTTTGAGGCACCAGGTGGTACTTGGCCTGGCACTTTGCACCTCTAGTCTCAGTTTCCTTACTGTAAAATACGTAAGGTTCTTTTAGTCTCTGATATTTTGTAGCTTTAAGAGAGTTTAATGCAGTGCACTGGTTAAGAGGAATCGGATAAAGCGATGCCAGCTGCCTTTTAGCTGTGTGATCTCGAAAACCCCACTTAACTTTTCTGTGCTCCATTTCGCCATCTGTGAAACTAGTACAATAGTAATAGCTACAGCCCAGACTTCTTATCAGATTAAATACGTTGTGCTTAGCATAGAGATGGGTACATTTAGACTCTCCATAAATGGAATTTACTATTATTATGTGTTCTTGTTACCCTTTCTCCTATTCTACCTAAATAATTGGAGATGCAAAAAGAAAAACAAAAGCCCTCAACAAGATTTTATATAAAAATGAAGCAAAATACCTGTCCCAGCTCGCATTATATTCACAAGCACTTTGCTCTAATATAGGGCCAGTGTGCATGAAGAAAGGATACATTATTAACTCAGGGTCAAGTCCATGGTTCATTTCTAACCTCATTTAAGCAACCCACCAGAAATCCAAGCTGTGTTACTTTGTTCACTGTGTTTTTCTTTCCTTGAGCTTTGTGAAAATTGTCTTCCATTTGGAATTCAGAGGTCTGTGACAGTTTTTTTTAAATGTTTTTTTATTTATTTCTGAGAGAGAGAGACAGCATGAGTAGGGGAGGGTCAGAGAGAGGGGGAGACACAGAATCAAAGCAGGCTCCAGGCTCTGAGCTAGCTGCCAGCACAGAGCCCCACATAGGGTTTGAACCCACGAACCGTGGGATCTTGACCTGAGCTGAAGTTGGATGCTTAACTGACTGAGCCTCCCAGGCGCCCCCTGTGACAGTTTTTAAGGTTGTCCTAAAGTCATCTTGTTTGGTTCAAATGTGTTACTACTGGTATTCCCAGGGCACACAATCTCAGATTCCCCGTGCTGAAGTCTGCAATCAGTCCAACTCTTTTTTTAAATTATTTTTTAAATGTTTATTTTTGAGAGAGAGAGAGAGAGAGAGAGAGAGCGCGCACAGGTGGGGGAGGGGCAGAGAAAGAGGACAGAGGATCTGAAGCAGGGTCTGTGCTGACAGCGGAGAGCCCAACACAGGGCTCCTCCTCGAACTCGAACTCACAAACCGCACTCACTAACCGGGAGATTTTGACCTGAACCGAAGTCAGAGGCTTAACCGACCTGAACCACCCAGGCGCCCCCAACTCATCTCTTTCTAAAGGGAGTTTATTCGGGAGAATGTTTGAAATAAACTGGGAGAACATGCAGGTGTTTGTATAGTTATTTGAAACAAAGGAGCAAGCAAGCAAATCAGAAGGGTGAGTAGCCTTGTTCCCCTTTAAAAAATAATAAAGTTGGTTAACTTACGTGGAATGTTCACTGTGTGCCCAGCCGTGCTCGAAACTCTTTGTCTGTAATAATTCATTAATCCTCACAGCAGCCATGGTAAGTAGATTTTATGATAATTCCTGCTTTGCTGGTGCAAAAAACTGAAGGATCACTAGGTTGAGTAATTTGCTGGTCAAACAACCACTACGTGGCTAAGTCAGGATTTAATCTCTTTCAGCCTCAACCCAGAACCTGGTTCATATCCAGTAGTTTTCGAATAGGACAAGATATTTGTAATAATTTTCTATTGTTTTATTAAATATTGAACTCAAGAAAATTAAATCACAGCAGACTGCAAATATAATTCAAACTTTTATTAAATGTCAGAATATCGGATCCTTGGATGCATTTTACTTCTGGGCAATTATCCAGGTTTGAAGCATAGATTTAAGTATCCGCTACTGTGATTACTGCATTGACTTATAGTGGCAAATCAGATTATACAGCGAGGAGAATGAAATCACTGACATACGCTTTTGGGAGGATACCTTTTGAGCTGGGTGTGTGAGTTCAGATATTACCTTATAACCAGAAGGCCTCTCCTAGCCTGAATCCTGCCTTTGAATTACCTCCTCTATTGAGAGAGTTGTCATCTAACTTGGGACTGGTGAGTTGTGAAATGGAAATGTATTCTTTTTCCTTCAGCAAGGTGCGGGCCCATCATAAGTAGATGCTCTTGGATTGTGAGTACATTTATAGCTACGATCATAACTATTTTCTGTTTAAGTTTGGAAAACTTAAAACTGGTAACTATACCACCTTTCTTTTCCCTAAAAGTTCTCTCAAACATAATTGTTGTTAGCAGAAATAAAAGATCTTTCTCTCTGTGTTTCTGATACTAGAAACAGTCATTTAAAAAAGTCTGTGTCTCCTCTAAGAAGTAGCCTTATCACTTCTTGTGGTCATCTTTTTTCTTTTGGCTACATCCTCCCTGACTCCTTAAAGCTGGCTTTAAAATGGTCCCAATGCTGGGGCTCCTGGGTGGCTCAGTCAGTTAAGTGTCCAACTTCGGCTCAGGTCATGATCTCACAGTTCATGAGTTCGAGCCCTGCATCAGGCTCTGTGCTGACAGCTCAGAGCCTGGAGCCTGCTACAGATTCTAGGTTTCCCTCTCTCTCTGCCCCTCCCCTGCTTGTGGTCTGTCTGTCTCTCAAAAATAAGTACACATTAAAAAAAAAAAAAAGTCCCAATTCTAACCTCACGTCCACCTCAGTTCCACAATCATGGCAGGAGACCTCACCTTTGGAATTAGTTCACATTTCAGTCCAGGGGGCTAGTGACATGGCCACAAATGCTGGGCTTGGGGTTAGCCCTGAGCTCTACCTTATCACACAGTACCCAGCAGCCACCTCCCGCCTGTCATCACAGCTGATGCTTCCCTAAGAATCTCTCCCTGCTGGGTTCTTCCCTTTGGGCTGAAGCTCCCGTGTGTCCCCAAACTCTGAACCAGGGCTGACTTCACAGAGTTCTCTGACAGCTGTGCCTCGGGCCTGGGTCTGACTCTTTCTAAGGCCAGAGCCAAGGGCAAAGTGTAATCTGGGAATGTTGGGCCGAAGGCTCTGTTGCGGGGGGGGGGGGGGGGGGGGGGGGGGGGGGGGGGGGGGGGGGGGGGGGGGGGGGGGGGGGGGGGCAGTTATGGGAGAAAGACCTGAAACAGGCTTGAGAGGGCGGTATGATGCTCACGATTCTAGAAAAGCGGTTTAAGCACCTTCAAATGAGGAGGAAGAAGAAATGTCATAAGCCCGGAGGTGAAGGGGTGGCTCATTGTACAACGAAACCAGATGCACGAGGTGCCCAGGTCGAAACGGA